CTTAATTGTATTACAAGCAACGAGTTACTTCTATTCCCTAAATAATATATTATAAAATTATGATATAAGTGTTTCAATATCTTAGTATACAAATGTAAGAATTGGCATAATAAAAATTAGAAAATTGTCGGAATATTTAAAAATATCATTTAATTGTTTATTCAAAATATTTAAAAATATCATTTAATTGTTTATCCGAAATATTTAATACTGAATCATTATGAAGCAGAAAAATTGCAAACTTAAGTCAGGTATATTATAATTTTGATTCTTATGTACATCCTGTGAAATATAGTTACACAAATAAATTATAAATCGAATTACCTCCATTTGCTGCGAGTGCAATTGTTGAAACAATCAAGAATAAGAAAATGTTAAAGTATCCCATTTTAATCTGCTGTTCAATAGGTACGCTTCTGTTAAGAATACACGAATTTATTCTATCTCAACATCCACTGATCCTACAATGCTCCGACATAACGTGTAATTATCATGACCACGCTCTACCTCCTCATGCTACGTGGAACTTTACCACTGTTCTGTTCACCACGATAGTCGTCAAATCGTCAACGTGGAACTGATCATGGTGTCATGGTGAAAGAAATCGAGGTGTGCTTGTTCTCGAGACGAATTTCGCAGATACCAAAAGCGGCCATTTAAACATTTGCACCGCGGTAATTTTGAAGTGACATATGTCGAGGTTTATCCACGAGAATTGCTCCCGACGCCAACGAGATACTATTCACGTGATAACTTTTGTCGCAAAACTGTTACAGTGACAATTTTATACATGAAAAAGGGTAAAAAGCGTTAAATTTGACATTTGAGCAACAGATTTGACATGTTCGTAATTTTTACGTGTCATTTGCGGGAGCGGTGCACTTGTACATACACAGTAGAGTGGGTATAAAGAGAGTGACGCCAACGCATGTGCCTAATGCTGATTGGCTCCGCCATTTATAGCAAAACTTCCGGTTAATTGTCAGGTTAGATAGTTGCAGACAAGAAGACTAGGGCCGGTATTCATAGTTCGTTCTTATTTCAAGACTGCCTTAAGTAATGTCTTAAGACGCTAATACAGTCCTCTGATTGGTTCGTGATATCTTAAGACTGCACTTAAGACAATCTTAAATATAAGAATCGACTATGAATACCAGCCTAGAACTAAGGAGGATCAACTCATGCCAATAGCAGTAGTGGGGGTGAGGCAAAAAGTGGCGACGGATAACTTCCCCCACTCTTGCGCTTCATTAGTCCTCTCTGTCGCTCTATATAGTTGTCGCTCTATCGTTCTATAATCGTCACTTTGTCGCTCTTATATCGAACTTTCACACAATGCGCAGTGCCGCTACACATCGTGTGAATAGCCGCGGACGTTTTTTGACTCACCCCCACCACGCGAGTTGATCCTCCTTAGTTCTAGTCTTCTTGGTTGCAGAGTACAAACTCTAGCTGCGTTCAGCAGACTCAACAGTTTTGTAACCGTTTTATGATTGTCTGCTGAGATAGGACCATTCTTCTAGATCTAAAAGTATGATCCAATCAGCTCGAAAGAAACTTCCAACAGTTGCAAAACGAACGTTCTGCTGAACGCAGCCTCTGTAAAATAGCCATGGTAGGGTCGGAAAATCAAACAGGGGATTTACAATTGCCATTTAATCCTGCTTATTAGATTAGGTTAAATACAAACATTATACTCACTTTATAAATGTTTTCTTGTTGCAAAAAACGCTGTATCCAAAAATTATATGGGAAGTAAGACGATGGCAATGCATAATTATATTAAATAATTATATTATTATATTACTGATATGTAGAGTTTATATGCAGTACAGTTTATACGCAAATATTATTTTCTTATGATAAATGTTAATTACATTCTAAAATCTTATAAATGTTACAATAAAATATTTATGTTAAAATAATCCAAATATTTAATAATATAATTTGTTTGTGAAATTGAATGTACTTTTAACATTGATTATATAATTTATTTCTTTTTTAATTTATGATATGTACTTGTGATATGCATTGATTATATATTAACAAATTATTTTAATAAAGCAAATTTTTATTAATACTTTGTATATAAAATTTTTTCTTTTTATTAATATTTTGTATATAAAATCTTTTTTTTTATTTGATTTGAGTTACTTCAATCTTAACGTTACATTAACTGAGTTAGTATTTTGTTCATGCAACTTTTAACGTAAATTAATTTTATGAGCCATTATCCTTAACTTAATTTTAAAAAATTAACTAACTCAACTCTGCTTTTATCGTTATTTTCTATGCAATAAATATGCATGCAACGTGCATAAACGAGATTCAAAAGAAAAAACTTATGTTTGAAATTGCCGCTATATGATGAGTATTGCTATTATATATTTGCTAGAAATGGCGACATCAGGCAATTGACGTGACTCTCTTTATACCCACTCTAGTACACAATTTAATTGCACATACCATTCACATCGGTTTTTTTCTCTCCAGAAGGAAAGAAGAGGAAGCAAGAGGCCTGTCCTTTTTGGCTGAACTTTTGCACCAGTTCATCTTTCTTTCTCTTTTTTCTTCCTGAAGAGAAAAGGAAGAAAGATATATATCAAGTACATATATAGCATATTAGTGATTCAAGATTGAATTATTTAAGCATTTTAAAGTCTAGCTTCGATCGATATAGAGTTCTAGTTTATCGATTATTTATCATTGGGTGCATTCAGTACCGCGACCGCTCATTGAGCGCTCAGTGAGCTCTTGTATCTGTTTGGTCTATATTTTTAGTTCTAACGGAATATGCCAATAAAATGTAAGCGCTCACTGAGCGCTCATTGAGCAGTTGTAGTACTAAATGCACCCATTATTTATCATTATTTTATTTTTATTACATATTTTATTAATTTACGATATTTTATAACAGTAATTTTATATTATATTTTCAAATTTTTAATTTATTTTTACTTTTATCATACATTGATCAATATAAAGTTTAAACATTGATCAATGTTGTATTTGAATATGGCGCTGCATCGATGGCTAATTTCTGATTGGATGGTTTATTGTTTGGCCGCCATTATGCGCGTTGGTTCACCTTTCTTAGGGCGCGTTCACACCTTGACGGAAAAGCAGCAGCCAATCAGAACTCGCGCTGATATTCGACAATTTCGGCTTTTTGTATTAGGGTGCCATTACATGAGCGCGAAAACGCGGAAACGCGCAACCAATCAGTAATCGGTAAAATGCGAAACCATAACAGCGGATTGCTTCTGATTGGTTACGCGTTTCCGCATTTCCGCGTTTCCGCGCTCATGTAATGGCACTCTTACTTACTACCAGCGCGGGTTGTGATTGGCCACTGTTTTTCCGCTTTCTGCTTTTCCGTCAAGGTGTGAACGCGCCCTTATTCCACCATGGTTCTGATTCCGTTCCGCTGTTTCTTTCTCCATGGAAACTCATGTGGGGTCTGCAGGAGCCATGATACGGGGTCTACAATAGAAGTCATATCAGTCGTAGAATCTTAAGTCGTAGAAAATTGATCAATCACAGTTGATTATTCTTCTCATATTAGACTGTGATTGGTCAATTTTCTACGACTTAAGACTCTACGACTGCTACGACTTCTATTGTAGACCCCGTATAAGACTCTATAACCACTGCGACTTCTATTGTAGACCCCGTATCATGGCTTCTGCACACTGGACACGGAAAAGTTCACCGCGCGACAAAATGCGACGCGGTAATCAATGAACATGTTAGGAGCTGTAAGCTTATTGGCTACCGTCTCACATTTTGCCGCGCGGCAAGCGTTTCCGCGTCCAGTGTGCAGGAACCACTAGCCTCAGGTTTCTCTCTTGTTCAGCTAAAAAGAACAGGCTTATAAGCATGTGAAATTGTATCTTAAAGGTGCCTTTTCATGCTGACACTCGACGCTTATTTTCGGCGTCAAAATAAGATCGCGTGAAGGTACCTTTTTATGCTGACGCTCAACGCTCATTTTCGGCGTCAAAATAAGTCAGGTGATGGAAATTGACGAATATCAAGCTTGATCACATAACCTATTTTGATGCTGAAAATGAACATCGAGCGTCAGCATAAAAAAGCACCTTGATAAAAATTGACGAATATCGAGCGTCAATTTTAATCACGCGACCTATTTTGACGTTAAAAATGAATGTCGAGCGTCAGCATGAAAAGGCACCTTAATAGTTTTGCGACAAAAGTCACCACGTCACAGAATAGGTAAGAATAAAGTCACTACAACTATAAAGTACGTAAACTCGCATCCATTTTGTCGCAAAACGCGGCCATTTCGAATTTATGCATTTGTATTACGTGCTTTATTTGGAAAAATGAAGTCGTCAAGTATGTAAATCAATGTTTTTTAGTTGTAATTAGTTTATTTATGAACAAAAGAATATGTACGAATGCTTAATTTATGTGTTTTTTAGTTTAATACGGGTTTATTTGTTGTAGAAGTTTAGTGCATGAAAGTGCACGAAGGGACGCGTAAGTCCTGGGTTGAATTAATGGCGTTTTGTGCTCTCCTCGTGTAACGCTCTAACCAATAGGAAAGATAGGCTGCGTTCAGCAGAACGGTTGTTTTGCAACTGTTGGAAGTTTCCTTCGCACTAATTGGATCATACTTTTAGATCTAGAAGAATGGTCCTATCTCAGCAGACAATCATAAAACGGTTGCAAAACTGTTGAGTCTGCTGAACGCAGCCATTGGGTGCGTTCAGCAGAACGTTTGTTTTGCAACTGTTGTAAGTTTCCTTCGCGCTAATTGGATCATACTTTTAGATCTAGAAGAATGGTCCTATCTCAGCAGACAATCATAAAACGGTTGCAAAACTGTTGAGTCTGCTGAACGCAGCCATTAATCCAACCCAGGTTGTTGCAAACCCGTCCGGTCCAAAACGCTATCTGTTTGTACTTTATACTTTATGATTTAGCGATGAAGAATCCACCATCAAAGAAAGTTTACCATCTATCTCTGTTCGATGGTTAATGATTAAGTAACAGAAGAACCTCTTCTATGAAAGTCCATTGTGAACATATTCGACATCACGCGAGAGCAAATCGCCGGGATACGTACCAGAAAATGCAAGTAATCGGGTCGTCGCGTTAAGAAAAGTGAGTGTCCGTTCGTCCTGCGTGATAGATGCGGGGATTCCGAAAAAAAAAGTATTATTCGGATCGAATCGAAGCGTGCTAGATTTGAGCAATTGATTTTTGTCGCTCTGCCTTTACCGGACGCGAGTTGTAACAAACGGCAGTCGTGAGTAAACGCGCTTGCACGTACAGAAAAACTGACGTATTCGAATTTCACTAATAATTGGAGTCCTGTGATGTCAAGAGGTTGATACTATCAGGAGAAAGAGAGAGATAGACAGAAAGAAAGAAAGAAAAGAAGGGAATCTGGTTCGCGAACGCAGCAAACGGCGAAAAGGGGAGAGAGAGAGAGAGAGAGAATCTGTAGAGAGAAAGTGTGTATGTGTGTACGTGCGTGTGTTGTGTGTGTGCGCTGTGTATGTGTGTGTGTGTGCGCGCGGGCGCGCACGTGTGAATGTGTGGGTAAGTGAATGATAGAAAAAGAAGATGCGCGTGGAAGAGAAAGAAAGAGAATGGAAACGAAGAACGAGTGCCGTCGACCTTCGCTTTTGTAAAATGGAGCGAAGAGGGCTGACGCTGGCAAGCGAGCGGATGAGTGCGCGCACGCGCTTTATACCAATTACATACAGGCTGTCTCCTCTCGAACGAGCGATTCTCTCTCGAAGCATCTCGCCATTCTCGCCGCGGCAAGGGATTTCGTCGCAGCGTTACCCGGGTAACGCCCCCTCGAGCACAGTGCCGCCCCCGTCGACACGTACAATTGTCGTTCGTCGTTTCTCGGAGTCCGCGCAAGGACTTCGATGTATACAGTGCTGTATGGCACCGTTCGTGCGCTTTGAACGAGTCGCGTTAAAAAAAAAAAAAAAGAAAGAAAGAAAGGAAAAAAAAGTGACACTGTATCCCGCTAATAAAGGGACAGACATTGATAGAAGAGAGTCAAGGTAAAGAAAATCGCGGCGCGAGTGACGACGAATCGACTGCCGGCGATGTGCCCTGCCTTCCGCCGTAGTAACGAAGGCGATGTCTGCCGCGAAGATGACACTCGTTCACGTGATACGGGCCGAGTTCGACGGGCTCGACCACCGGGCTGACCGGGCTGACCGGGCTAAACCGGGTTGATCCTAAATAGAGCACGTGGCGTGCTATATCCGCCGTCGTTGCCGTCAAGTGCCGTCGCGTGATGGAGCGCGTTACGGGACCACGACGCGTTATTCGGGCGATGCGTTCGTACATCGACATGTTCTCGGCACGCGACATCGCAATTCGCTTATATTGCGACGGTTTCCGCGATTCGTGACCCCGGGGTCATTGACGGATTCGTAATCGCGCGCGATTCGATCTCGAGTTCTCCGGAGAACTTTGACGGGCGTGCGTTTGATTCGCGTGCGGAACGTACGCGGCACGCATGGATCTCATTGGACAGACGCGGTGAGTGAATCGATGTTAAGACATCGCATATCGGCGATGTGTACGCTTTGCAACGAAGATGTATCACGTACATACATACATATATTTGTGGACTGTTGCAAAAAAATCGGATTCACGTGAGAAAAAAAATCCCCCAAAAGAATGCACTTTGCTATCTTTAACGTCTTTTGACCTTAATGACGTCTCAATCAGATTTGTGACATATAGAATTTTTCACTTAGGCCAGTCGATTCTAAGGACGAGTGCTTCTGAGACTTCCTATGGTCTTTTGGCACGTTTGCAGCAGTTCGGAGCATTATCCTTATAGGAACATTATCCTTATTACCTATGGAGGATTAATATTATTAATATCGGCATTATATTGTACTGGTGTGCCTGGATTGACAAAATATTTTTCTGCTATATCTTCGTCTTCCATCTTGTACTTTTACCGTAAGGTAAATATGTATAATTTTTGACATGTACCTATCACAGTTTCACATTTAATAATACCTTTGAAATTATTTATCTTAAATTTATTTTACCGCGCAACATTTAATTAACTATACTTGTACAATTATTATATAAAAGTATAAACGTTTATTTCAATATAATTAATAATGATATTTTATTTTTATTAAATAATAATGAATGAGAAAATTAAATTCCTCTAAAAATTAAATCTTTAGAGATGTCATCCCGAGATTATGATAGAAGAAGAGGCGCTAGCAGCAGCAATTCAAGCAGGCTGCGAATGGACACGAGTGTATCACAATCCAGACCACATGGCGAGAGTTCTAGTAAGCGAAAAGAGATAGATAATGTAATGCGAAAAGCACGCGAGTCACAATCAAGCTATTGGAACAAGAAGCTATTGGAAGCAGAGGAACGAGATCCAAATAGATGGCGTCACAGTGGATACAAGGAATTATATGTTGGCAGCAGCAGTGAACCTAGCAGAGGACATCCCAAGAGTCCGCGAAGTCCGAGATCCCGTAGCCCTCATAGTCCACGACCGCGCAGTCCTCGAACGAGAAGTCCACCGCGTGAACGTTCTTCCCGTGAACGCAATAAAAATAGACAGCCTGCTCGTAGCTCTAGCACGGGCAGTACATGTTCTGACAGATCATGTTCCGTTTGTTCACCGAAAGAACGACGACGCGTTGCTCCATTGTCTCGTTCGCGTTCGAGATCAGTTAGTCCGATACGAACTAGGACACATCCTAAAGAGGTAATCGCGTCCAGTTCACGGGCCTTACAGCCGCGTACAAGACCACGGTCACCGCCCTTGCCGCGACCACGTACACCACCACCGGCACCGCAACCGCCGCTGCGTCATCAGAAGGATTACAAAAACGTCAAAGAGAAAGAAACTAAGGTTCGCCGTAAAGAGAAACATCATAACAGATTGCCGGAAGATCCACGAGTACCAGATCCTATCTCATTGGTAAAACAACAATTTCTTATTATTCTCTTTAATTCTTATAATTTCTTTTTCTATGTTTATTGGCAAACTTATAGTAATTAATCAATCCCATCGAGAAAAATTTTCTAACAAATGCTTCGTAGCAAATATAAAATTATATTAACAATTTCTTAAACGCTAGATAGGTATATATATTACATTGTGCAGAATGACGCGTTCGTTCAAAATTAAAGTTTGCATATATTAGGAATACTTTTATTAAAATTGTGCAGATACGTAAACCAGTAAAAGTAGAAAAAACACATACGAGTCATGGAGCATCGCAAATAATACGGCCTCCACCAGAATCTTCACCTAGCGACGATAGCGATAGTTCCTCGACTACGTCCCATGTAGGACCACCAAAAATGACATTATCTGAACGGTATTAAAAATCTAATGCAGTATTGTAATGATAAAACTCAAATAAATTTACAACATTCAAGTTGATTTTACACAATTCTAGTTTTTCTATTAATAGATAACAATAATTCTATTCAATTTTCACAGATTTGGTAAAATGGCACAGTGGAGTGTAGATCGTAGGGACATGGAAAATATGCGTATCACGAAAGATGGCGAGAATGCGATGAAGGTCGTTATAGAAGGCGAGGAGAGAATTGCGCGTTTAGGTTACGACTCGCCACCTCCCGGTCATTATCCTGAATCACTTTTAGCACAAGGTCCAAGAGGTTTCGAATGCTGGGATGATGTTCGCGTCCGATATGATTATTACAAAGCGAGGGGATATCTTCGTGATCTCACTCTCGATGATTATATCAAATGGGAAGAATGGTGGTACAAGTATCAAGAATGGCTTGAAGCCGAACGTTTTTATGAGCAGTGGGCCTCGTCAAATCGTTCGTCTGGCGGTAGTCGCAAGAGACGAGGACGACGCAATAATGTTACTCACTAAGATATAAGTCTCTGTTATGATTTACACTCGATTTATTGACAAAATATGCAGTGATATCTGTAAGTTTAGAGTACACAAAAAAAAAATATATATGTATGTATAAGCTATATATCGTAATAAAAAGGATGATTGTGTAAAACATCATATGGTTTGAAAAATGTAGTTTACAATTTTAAAGATTGTGTATTATGTTTTATTCATACCTTCAATAACTGTCTACTGCTAAATACAAGCACACGATACAAACTTATAATGCGATAAGTAAGAATCGTTCAGTGAGTAGGCTGCATTTCGAAATCCATCGAAAAAAAGTGTTGCAACCATTTAGTTGCTGAGTGTATGTACATATTAGGTAATACAGGAAACGCTATATGATTACAACAATTTCACAATCTCGAAATATGCTTCGTCCGTATATACAGGTATATGTAAATACATAGCAAATGCATTAAAAAATAAATTCATATTTATTCTTGTTTTTCTGGATTGTAAAATCGTTATTTCTTGACTTCAGATTACACACAAATCGTATTTTATCATTTAAATGTGATGAAGCTGGAGTTAGCCCAGATGCAGGGTCGCACGAACAATTTTGAAAAAACTTAAATTACAGCTTTCTGAGCAAATAAAAACATTCCTATAATGCACGTAGGCATAAATACATTATCAAAACAATAATATCATTTAAACAACAATGAATGATAAACATTTATTCACACATATCAAATATGAAGAAATGCGTAAGATCTACGACTAAAAATTTAAAAATCAAAGCAGTTCGTGCTCTCTCAAAAATGAATATGCATTACATTCCTGACATCCTAGAGAACATGTGTGAAAATTTCCAGACGTTTATTCGTTTGCGTTGACGAGCAACAAACAATTATTTATCGCTGTTCGGGCAGAAAGGAAGGCGTTCGGAAGGCGTTAGCATACATCCTTAGCTACACGTTAAGCACAATAAGTCTCACAGAACTCTGATTTCGACCAGTATCTCACACATATAGCATAAAAAACGTTTTTCTCGGGTATTAAAAATTGTTTAAAAAATTTGTAAATAATTTTTATAATCAGAATTCTTCGGAAGGCGTTAGCATACATTCAGTATTGCACAAAAATTATCACAGAACTCTCAGAACTGTCGATAATTGGATAGTATCTCATCTTTATTGCTGAAAATTGTATTTTTGGGCTAAAATATTATTAAAAATGAAAAATAACATTATTTATCGTCAGAACTCTTTTGGAAACTCATCTAAAACTCTTAAAAAATTAAATCCATGATAAAATTAAAAATTAAAAATTAAATCCATGATAAAATTAAATCCATAATTATGTGGAACGAGTTATTCCTGGTTATTCGAGAATAATATTTAAAGAACATTTTCGGTGAATAATGTATATAATTATATCTTTATATGAAAAAAATAAGAACACGAAATGAAATTTTTCTCAATGTAATATCATAATCTAAGGAAAGAGTTTATATTTACAATTATACATACATATACATACATATATCAATAAAAAATTAATTGTTTTTATTACTTATTTTAAATTAATAATGACTGGAAATTCGATAATGAATGGAAATTTAATTAAATCACTTTCCATTTTTATTGCACTGTAAGTCCGAGCAAAACACGGTTAAAGTTTTTTAAATTTTCAATAGGCGCATCAACTTTGCATCAAACGCTTCACGTCCGAGCTGCTGTAGTTAATGCGTTGAGAAGTGGGGAGAATCTAGGGAAATCTGTGCGCTATCAGCATTATTCATGCGCGCTTTGAAACGGAACGGTTCTCTATATAGTCTATGTGCATTATGCAAGAAGACTAGAACCAGGAGAGTCAACTCGTGCCAATAGCGGTAGTGGGAGTGAGGCAAAAAGTGGCGACGGATAACTTCCCCCACTCTTGCGCTTCATTAGTCCTCTCTGTCGCTCTATATAGTCGTCACTCTGTCGTTCTATAATCGTCACTTTGTCGCTCTTATATCGAACTTTCACACAATGCGCAGTGCCGCTGCACATCATGTGAATAGCCGCGGACGTTTTTTGACTCACCCCCACCACGCGAGTTGACTCTCCTGGTCTCTAGTCTTCTTGGCATTATGCGTGCAACGGAACGCACCTTACGCGTAAACAGCTGCGGTCCACTTGACGCTACAAACGCTTCGAAGCGTTTGTAGCGTCAAGTGGACCGCAGTCAACATGACGCGCCGCGTCGTCCGGTGTCCACCCGCCCTACCTGGAACTACCACAGTTCCACCGCGCTGCAAAACAAACTCCAAGGACGCGCGCCAACCGTCTGTAAAATTGAATTCTTGTAGACAGGGTTGGTAAAAAACATGTTTTAAACAGTTTAAAACATGCTGAATTGATGTTTTTAATATATTTTAAATGTTTTTTTTATGTACTATTTAAAACATATTTGAAGCATTAAAAACATATTTAAGAAAAAACACAATACGTTTTATAAAAAAAAAAAAAAAAAAAAAAAAAAAAAAAATTAGTATATTTATTAACCCTGCTTGTAGATGATTTATTTGAAGCGATCAATAAAAGTCCTTTAAAATAATATATTTATCATTCCATCTATGAGGGCGAATTATCTTGAAGTTTGGTTTTCAAAGAATATTATGTGAGCAATTGATACTTGGACAAAAGTCAGGTTTATTTTAATAAATTGGTCAGATTTTTACAATTATATGCCATACACGTCTTTCCGACTCGGTGATTAACATTCAACTGCTCGCTCGATATTTTGTTTGTAACTAATCAAGCTTGCTTTCCAGCAAGGACATAATCAGACACTGTAACACAGTGAGTCGTTTTATCCTTGTTGTTTGCCAACGTTAAACAAGGATGAAACGACTCACTGTGTTACGACTGACTGTGTCCTTGCTGGAAAGCAAGGCAACAGAGTGTTGCTAGGAACAATTCGTACCGTGTATTGATCGATCGATCTCGGCATGAACATAGTTATTTTGTCGTACTTACACGTCTAACTGTCGAAATATTAACCATATATTACGAAATAAGTAAAATAATCTATTTGTTATATTTTTTATATTCTCCGATGAATAAGCTTTATTGCTTTATTTTTAGATTCTTTATGCACATACACAACTCATCTATAATATTTAAATATTTCAATTGTATTACAATAAGCGATTATTAGTTTATAATAACTTTATATTATACAAAATCCGCGCAGTGTACACAATATATTTAATAAAAAATTGACGCTTTGTGGCTTTTTGTTACTTTTGAATTCTGTGTTAAATTCTGTCATTCACGTCTATATACATATAAAAAATTTGTCCAGGATCGACCGTCTTTAATAGTATCGCGGTGGTTATGATTTTATCGACAGGGTCAGGAAATGTAGTACGTAGTATCCAAACCGAAAATGGATGTACTGGCGATAGTGTACGGGCGATTTTTTAACGGGGTGTTACGAAAAACGTTTTTCTCTAATAGAGATCTCTGACTGTAAACGATTTGCTATTGTTATTTAATTTATAAAACGGAAAACTTGTCAAAAATGGTTATAGCGATTGGATTTGAAGGTAGTGCGAATAAACTAGGTGTAGGAATAATTCGCGATCAACATATATTATCGAACGTACGACATACTTATGTTACTCCACCAGGAGAAGGTAAGAGAACCTCAGAATAATATTTTATAAATACTCAAATATATATTAAATATTTTATAATTGTTAATGCAAGTTATTTCTTGCATTAGTATTATTTTTGCTTTCTATTTAATTTGTACCACTACTTATGTGTTCAAATTGCAAATTGCTTATGTATCCTAATTCCAATTAATTATACTTTTATATAGTTAGAAAATAGAAGGTGTGAAGAAAGGTAGATTTAAATAAAATTAAATTATGCAATATTTTAATTTTATTAAAAAATATTTTGTAGTATAAATCAGCTATATTTTTTTTAATATAATAGTTGAATTGAATTTATATTTAAAATATGATTAAAGTTATAAAAATCAAGTTTTATGTGTATATGAATCATAATTGTGTTTACAAAATTTGATAATTAATCAGTTTATTCTCCTCAGTTTCAGTACTAATAAAATTGTGCTCATTTGACGTGTTTTTGTACGAAACAAAAGAATTTCGCCAGAAATTAATCAATTTTATATTAATATAAAAAAGGCATTGTATTCTGTATATTAATTTGTACCATATATTAATTACATATGTCTTATATGTTATTTATTTATTTCTTTAATGTTCTTATCATTCATGAATGCTATCAATTACAGCTTAATTCAAATTAATACAGTATCGTAAAAAGAAAGTAATAAAGATAGAAAGCATCTATTTTACAAAATATAGATTTTTTAGAGTTATTTTTAAAATGAAATTTATTAATTATTTCTTAAACTTTTTAATAAATCTATTCTATATCCACACAAGTTCTAAACACTTGCATTATATAAATATATTAACATGTAATCTAATAAATGTGTATTCATATTAGGTTTTTTACCTCGAGAAACAGCTCAACATCATAGAAAGTATGTATTAGAAGTTTTGCAAGAAGCCTTAGATGATGCAAAGATTAGTCTGAAGGATGTGGATGTTATTTGTTATACAAAAGGACCAGGAATGGGAGCACCATTGACAGTTACTGCTTTAGTAGCTAGGACTGTCGCTCAATTATACAATAAACCTATAGTTGCAGTCAATCATTGCATTGGTCATATTGAGATGGGACGTTTAATTGCTGGTACTGAAAATCCTACTGTTTTGTATGTTTCTGGTGGAAATACTCAAATCATTGCATATTCTCAACAAAGATATCGTATTTTTGGTGAGACAATTGATATAGCGGTTGGAAATTGTTTGGACAGATTTGCAAGACTATTAAAGCTCTCAAACAATCCTTCCCCTGGATATAATATAGAGCAGTTAGCAAAAAAGCAAGTAAATTTTTATGTAATCACTATTTAGTCTTTATATTAATTTTAAATTTATGCTTAAATTTATACTGGATTTTTAAATAAATTTTATGTAAAAAGAGGTGAGAAACTGGTACTGCTACCATATGTTGTGAAAGGGATGGATGTATCATTCTCTGGTATTTTAAGTCACATGGAGGAACATCTTTCCAAATGGCTTGATACAAAGGCATTCACTATTGAAGATTTATGTTTCTCTTTGCAAGAGACTGTATTTGCTATGCTCATCGAAGTTACA